GTTTATCCCCCTAAGACGACCGGGTGGTTGTGAGGGAGCTTATAATCATTGCCACCGTGTACTGATTCCCCCACGACTTGGACACGGGGTAAACTAAATACTCTCTATGAATGAATAATATATATACCTCCAGGAATATTTGATTTTCAAACAGCAATGTACTTTTGATCTCCATCACTTCAAAATGAAACAGCGGATGGCACTGGTCGACAAGAGCAACTTGTTCGCGCAGCACGTGCAAAACTCACAAGCGACATACAATGAATTGGCAAAGTGGGCAGCGCAAACGTTCGAACTTGCGACAACTCCAACAAAATCTGCCATTAGAAAGACCCTTAAACGCGGTGCAACACAAACGCAACGCGTCGACAACAAGGCTCGGCACATTGATCGTGCAGTTAAATCTCCTGAGCTCGAAACCGAACTTCTCCTATGGGTCCTACGCTGTGAGAGACTTGGCGTATGTCTACCGGGAGAGCTCATACGAGAACAAGCAAACTCAATCGCCGCCCGCCTCAACCTGCCCCCAACGCAGTGTTCGTCCTACTCGAAAGGATGGCTGTATAAGTTTCAGCGCAAACATGGCCTGACAAGCAAAACATAGCATGGAGAAGCTGCATCAATCCTACGAGGTGCCGCGCAACAAGGAAGCGAAGAAGTACGACGCAGTACGAGTGGCTGCAGCCCTACAAACGTGTACAACTTGGATGAGACTGCGTACCTCTACTGTCTGTCGCCACACCGTTCCATTACGCGCAACCGTGTGCCTGGAACGAAAAATATAAAAAAGAGGGTAATCGTTGCTCTTACCACGAATGCCGACGGTTCCGATGCTGTTGACCGCTTGTTCATCGGGACAGCCATGCAGCCAAGATGCTTCAATGGTCGAACTGCCCAAGACCTCCGTTTTGACTACCAGTCGAGTAAAAAGGCCTGGATGACGAAGGAGGTCTTTAGCACGTACCTGAAATCCATGAACGATCGAATGGTTTCAGAAGGGCGCAAGATCCTGCTGCTTGTGGACAACGCTCCCTGCCATGATCGTGAAGCTGGTGAAGGTTTGTCAAATATTTCGTTGCGTATGCTTCCAAAGAATACAACGGCGTACCTGCAGCCTCGGGATGCGGGCATTATTGCCTCGTTCAAGGCGAAAGCCAAGAAGCGGCAACTGAAAGAACGTCTAGAACCAGATTGGATCGGTGATGGCAGGGGGCCAGGACAAGCTCTACGAAGTACCGTTAGTTGTAGCGATGGAGTGGGCCGGGGTGCATGGCGCTCTGTGTCATCGTGGACAGTTGCGAAATCTTGTCAACGTACCGGAATCGTGGACTGTGACTTGTCAGCGTTCAGCGATCGAATGGCTGCAGTTCATATGAATTGTTGTGGCAAAAAGAGATACAGTTAAAACGATAACCTTTGAGTTGATGTACTGTGAATAATTTATATCATTTGCCGTGTCCAAGTCGAGGGGAGATCAGTATTTCGATGCATTTCTCCATCACCATTTTGAGAGAAATGAATATTTTTCACACCGTGCCCACATTCATAAAACGAGGTTTCCACAACATCAATGAGGTCCTCGATTGTTCGAGTGCAGTACTGATACTGCAGACATTGAATAGAGTTGAACCATCCTAAATCTACGACATTGAAATCTTGCGCGCCGTCTCTTTACTCGATTCCGGATACGTCGCGCGACTCCAGCAAACTTGTCGTGAGGAAATTATGAGGGCTGGCGCTGTCTTGTTGGATTAGCAACACCCGATTGCAGTGTACACCGCGGGAACTTCGACTTGATGGCCGGCACAACATTGTTTAGCACCATTTCTAAATATACATTCGAGTCGATAGACTGCAAAGTCGTCACTACAGTATTGTGACTTTGGTACGGTTCTTGGAGTTGCGTTGTGCAGTCACTTTTTCGACAAATTGCCAAAGTCCATCGAAAAGGTGGATGTTTAAGTCAACACGGGGCGGGAAATCGCCGTCAATTTATAAATCGTTTGGCCTTCGCAAAACGAGCAGCCATGACTTCATCCTCGTTTGTCAAATAGAACCATTTTTCGTTGATACAGTACGCGCAAATGAATGCATAATGTAAAAAAGTGACTTGCATTCGACGAGGGATGAAGAAAAGAAATTGCGTACCGCAGGCGCTCTTCGATATTGCTTGGGATCAAAAAGGGCTTCACATATCTTGAGCGGGCGTTGACCTGGCTGCATTCCTTCGTGTGCCGTATGATCGTCATTTGGGAATATCGCACGCATGAGACAGAGCTCTCAGCGCCTGCCGCGACGTTTGGGGAGCTTGCCGAACCGCAACTTCTATTTATTCGTTCGAGCGCTTCTTTTTGCGAACTGAATGGACTAAAATAGTACACCTCTAGAAACAATGTTTCTGGGAAAGCAATACAGAAATATAGAGGTAAACCTCGGACTTGCGCGATGTGACATCACTTTGACAAATGGCCCGCTCGAACTGAACGCTGTCCGCAGGCCCTAACGCGCGACACAGTTTCCGAGTGACAGTTCATCTGCTTGGCAAGCCGCACGATGGCACCATAAGGCAGTGTGTCGGAGGGCGAGACGGAAAGCAGGCTCTTTCTTGTAGATGGCGCGGCGCTCCTCGTTATCTAGGTGAATTTCGCCGCCATTTCGGCCATGGGGGCTCAGTGGCGGTAGGCTGTGCTGGTGGCAAGTTGCATTGACATGGTTTAGAATAGCGAGATTGATGTGTGTGCTGTTCGTGCGATATGAAAATGAGTTATGAGGATAGGATAGTGTGATGTGTCAAAGTTTGGACGAATTGACATGGCATGAGTCGCGCCCATTACTCATGAATGAATACGCTTTAGAAGGCTCATAAACTGCCCAATCAAAGCAGAGAGATCTTGCGCTTTCTAGTGCACCAATTGTTACTCAATTTGGACGACATATTTAGAAACATTCCGCCCATTGGAAGACGTACTCTGCAACATGTTTTCG